TCTGAAAAATATTTTTGGAAATTTATTTTATAATAACATATATTTCTAAAAGATACTGACGTGAATAATGTATGAATGAACAAACCTCTCATATGTTCAACACTTTCCCCCAGACTGCTTTCATCGTTTTCATCATACACACTGTAATCCTTGCTTACTTTTGGGTGACTATTAGTTGCATCGTTGATTATCTGTGAATTTTTGTTACGTTTATGATTACAATTTCTTATAAGCAGTAAATTTACGAACAATTGAATGCCCTAGCAGCACTTACAGACAGTAATTCCTTCGCAGTGGGTCGTTGCGATGGAAAGATGCACAGCGCCTTCTCAAGCATCATCATGATTGTATCATCTGACGTAGTAAGAATATTTGGTTTCTTTTGTTGAATTTCAGCCAACAACAACCAAAAAACCGAGCCACTCCGTTCTTGAAAAGTTGAAAACAGTAACCTTACTCTAATTGAAAGGAACTCAACTGTTTGGATGTTCAACTCATAAATTTTGTTTTTTTAGAACCTAATTCACCTTTCGTATTTTTCTGTATGAAATTAAGTGATGGCAAATTGTACAAACAGCTCGAGAGCTTATGTGTTTATATTATTTAATAACTGCCCAAATTATATGACCACAATTTTCATCAATTCAGGAAATAATTCCGCTGTAGCGCTAAATTTTGCTTGAATAAACAGAAGTCTGGAAGACTAGTTTTTACAAAAAAATGAAACTGGCAACCGATCGTAACAGAAAGTACTGCAGAACTGAAGTGAACTTTTAATACAGACGAATATGCATGAATCACAAAAAATACTTCTTTTGATTAGAGAAATCAGTGTAGAATAAAACTGCTTCGGAGACCAAATTTCAGAGAGAAGACAACCCTGAAAGTGAAAAATATAATGATAACATTAATATATAAAATATTAACGCTCAATGAAAACAAAAATGATTGCTTACCATAAGATATGACAGGTAAACAATTCAAAACATAAAGCTTAATTAAAATGCCTATCGACGCGAAGCATGACTGCATCAGATCTCGTTGCAAAATATCAATGACGGTAATAGAAGATGGACTTTATGAAGGTAGATTTCACTTGCATAAAAAAAGAAATTGACCTACGATTGAAAGCTCAAGAAGGGCTATCCCAAATAACCAGATATCTCCAGCTCGACCAATGAAACGGTCTTCGATTTCGGCTTGCAAGAAACGTTCCGGCGGAAGATACCAAGAAGAGTAAATACAATACTCTAAAACCCTTCTACTGCCACTGATACAGTGCAAACCATACTGGGCTAACCGAACTAAATTCTGTAACATAAACGTATATAATACTGTTATAAAGTTGCACACAACATGTTACCTGAGATGAGAGAAGGACTGAATTTAAACTGAAATAGCCAATAATGATATGTCGAGAATGCAAATAAGTGAAAGCTGACAAGATCGGTTGTGATAAAGATACGATTCGTGCCACATCCAACCTAAAACTTCAAAGTTCGATATTTCTACTGAAAAATTTACGAAACACTAAAAAATTAAGAAATGCCTTGTACCAATAATATTGCTATAACATCAACTGCAAGATGATACTTCTGTTTTTTGAGGACACTTCCAATGATTACATCAGAGCAGTATTACGTTTACTAGAACTGAGTTCCTACATTCAATCTCATTCCACCCCCACTTGAATTTCTACTTTTCCAATAATTCAAGCTTCCTGATAGTTGATGCAGAAAAAATCAGTGAACTGTAATTTATCGTACAAACTTGAACAGTTTTATGTGGGATTCCCTATGGGATAAAGTGCTGGATTCTGTATGGAACTCTCTAAGTTTGAATCATAAATTTTAATTTGGAATTTACCTAAGAATTCTGAACGAACATCTACAAGCTGATCTACCTGAGACCAGACCTTAAACTCAGTAAAAGTGAATTGTAAGAAGCGAAAAATTTATCAAAACTACTCCAAGATCTCTTGTTCATACGTACCGGTCATATAATACAGATTAGTGTCATATGATATTACGATATGTCATATGGTCATATGATATGTTATATAACATTGAACAACAGATACCAGTGCCTCATACTCCTGAAGGCCCAGCTACTAACTGACCAAGCCTACCTATGAAATTCCGAGTAATCGATGAATGATAATACAACTTGCCTTTTACATTCCTTCAATTCTTCGACGGCTGACCGTGAATAATGCTCCGAAATCAAGAAACCTGTATTTCCAACTAAAATCATCAGATTTAGATTTATGAAAAAAGCAAAGACCCTTTCCTGTAATTCCACCGTCAGTAAGCAAGAACTGACATCCTCTCACTAATAATGACTGCGTGGAAGTCATGAAATGCGGCAGTTTGTTCGGACATTATTCAGTAGGCCTTTTAAAAATGGATACGAAAATGGATGCAAAAATGGATTTAAAAATGGATGCAAACCATCCAAAACAACGCTTCAAGTTCTTTTATAAAAAGCTTTAAAGGTGGTCAACTAACATAAATGAGATTCTGAAAGCTGTTAAAAGTTAAAACAGAAAAGTAAGTTTAAATGCGGTTTAAATGCGAAACATACGGATTGCTGATCGAACAAACTCGACATATTTGCAGAGGTGGGGATGGTTCAATGACGTAAGTTTTGAAAATCCTCCCAACATATGCGCAGCTGATGATGCTGTCGAAAAGCCACATGTTGCAATATGGGACGACGAGTCATCTCCAATTACAGCTGTAGCTCCGAACTCTGCTGATCCCAATAGACGAACATTTGCTTCCATCGTCATCAGGAATGGCTAAATGAAAATGAGGACTTGAGCAGATTTAGTATGATGTAAAATGTAAATCTAAATTATCGAATCTGGGAAAATTGATTAAAAGAGTTTGAAGACCCACAAGGAACTAATTTAAATAAACATTTACCAAAGCAGAGGCGTAAATGTACATGCAACTGCAGGTTAACTGCCTTTTTCAGGATGTGAAAATCAGGTTTAGGCATACAAAAGTTAATGCCCATTTATACTTCAAAACAATGCCTCTAAGAAACAGACAAAATTCAGAAAACATGAGTGCTAGCAGAGTTCCTAGTCATGTCCACACCAAGCATCGCTTCATCTTACCATTATCCTCATAAAAATTTACTGCGCTAATATCAGTGCCAAATGTGATGTGCAATAAGATCGAGATATTCCATGATAGCTATTCCAAAAAACATAGCTTATATTTTTTCACTTCCAGGACATTATTTCATTAAAACAGAAAATCCCTTTCCCAAAATGAAGCATTAATAACAAGGAAAAACTCTGTACCACAGCTCGTACTTATGTCAAGAAAGTTGAATTATTACTACATGTGAAGGAAGGAACTGCTGGCTGTGCTATATCCTCAAGTTATGCTTTCCAAGGTCTGAGTGAACAGAGCACATTCGCAACGGTGTTTGCCTAGGGTAGTTCGAAGGAACATAGCTGTGTCTCATGATTTACTCTTGTTCAAAAAGTTTATTCCAAATACTCAATTCTCTGAATAAACAAATCGGAAGAGTTCCGCCAAAATTTTCCTGTAGAACGACAGACAATTCAGTATCGAGAATGTCCGCTATTTGTGGCAGATTGTCTTATTTGTCTAAGATGTAAACAAGATATTAAGGGCAGGGCTGGTGAACAAATCAATTACATGGACTATCAATAAGAAGGATGACTCATGCATTTGTGATATTTTTTTGGAACTGTTATCCAAGAGTTAGTTGTCAGTGCTGTAACGCTCTCTCGATCAATTATTGGGAAACTGTGACTAAATGTACCCTCTGATGTTCTGTTATTCAACAGTTTTGCGATGAAAATTCAGATAATCAAGAGTCCACACTGCTCATAGATGCTAAATGTAATTCATGTTGGAGATTCGTATTTTGGGCAGCATTAGAGAGTTTCAAAGATACACTAAATGCTTGAAGTAATATCAGTGCTATAAAGTCCAGTGATATATTAAATCTAACTGATTCTCGAGACTTTGAAAAAATTCTTACGTCCTTGAAAAGAAAACACCAACAAGTGCAAATGATTCCCTTCACGATGCCAACCTTTTCCGGAAAGGCTTATGCCTAAACAACCGCGTCGGTTTAGAAAGAACATGTGCTGCAAGCTGCGTGCTATTCTCAGAGACGCGAGAGACGAGAATCAAGGCAAGTCAGATTGCGTTGCCTTATCGACATAAGCAGTGAATGAAACAAAATAAAGATGAGGGGTTGATCTAAACATAACAATTACGAAGAGGATGGAAGACGAAGAGATAGAGAGTAGAGGTGCGCATGTCAGCGTGGATGTGTAGTAAGGGGGAGGTTTGTTGCACCATGGTAGTGGTTGTTGTGAATCCTGTGAAGGAGAGCGGCTGCAAACAGGCTGATGATTAAATTTGGCATGTAGTAGCAGCCATGTAGTCTGGATTCTTGCGCTGCTTACTTCCATTTTTGACAGGAAAAACTTATCGAGGGTTGATTCAGTTGATTGTCACACCACTCCTCCCCTGGTATCCTGCGAAATTCACATTTTCCTGTAGAAACATAGAAAAAATCGAACTGTTCACTGAATTCGAAAAACTCGAGTTTTGCATTGGTGTCTTTCAGTAAATTCAGGTAACTCAACAAAATTCCTTTATGCTCCGTTCAATTTACGAGAGATATATATATCATTTACCAATCATATAAGCTTTAATTAATCTGTGAACAAAAGCAGCGTTTACACACTGAAATGCTTGATTGCTAGTGGTTCGATAAAATGCTACATATGTTTACTTTGCACTCACGTAGTACGAATATAATTGCTGCTCGTGCAACACAACTGTCCGTCAACAATGCATAATCTTTGTGAGCGGATAAATAGTGAATGCAAAGAATGCAAGTTTCATTGAAAATTTGCACAGAATTTGCTTTCTCAAAATGAAACTAAAGCTACCATAAAAGTTAGTTAATGTCTTTATCAGAATTTCTGTAAAAAGGTCTGTTCAATATGGATTCATTGTTTTTGGTCTGATGAGTTGGATGACAACTTCACATTTCCTGCAAGATTTTCACTTTGTCAACTGTCAGATCATTTTTATGTTAATTGCTAGTCAAGCTATTCAATAGTTTCCATATCAAAGACTTTAAAAAGGTGGATCGTTATTCATAATTTGAGGAATATTTATTGTTTATATAAGGAAATCTGTTTCAGTATTTTATATTATGAGACTACAAGAGTTGATGTAAAAACAGAAGTGATTCACTGCTTTATAAATGGCAGAAGATAATGTGTTGTCTTCCGAAATCTGCTGGTGTGTGAAGTACGCAAATGTTCTTCCTGCTAAGCCATTAATTGTAGCATTTATTTAGGCCGAACTTAGATTTATGAGCCGCTGAAGAATATCATTTGAACTGGTGTGTATTCCTCCTCCATGAAAACTCGCAACATTTAAAAGTGGTAAAAAAGCTTCTGTTACCGCATCGTTTAAGAACAGTAATGACCGCCTAAAGACTGCTAATAGGGTCATTAAAAGTACGGTACACTGGGTCAGTTTGGAAGGTTAAGAAGTTTTTTTTTTCGACGGAATTGCTTATGTAACATGTGTTTTTGATATTTGCCGTCGGGAAGGAGTGATGTTCAATGGCAGCATCAAAGAAAAAGCTGATTTCGTTTCAAGTCAAGGAGACTGGAAAGTTGAACTATTGAACATGGGAACAATGCTGAAAAGCACTAGAAGTTTTAATGTTGAAAAAGGTTGAATTCTCCTAAATGAAATTTTGGCTGACTGAGTTGCCACGAACTAAAAATTTCACAAATATGTTTTTAAAAACTGAATTCAATCAGTCCATTGTTACTTACCATGCTGTATATTTTAGAAACTGTTTGCAGCGTCGGTTGAGATTTGACCAACACTGTTTCGTTGGAATGGCGGATATAAAAATTTTGATTTGGCAGATATTATTGCTATTAGCGCTTTTGTGAATAGAAGATGTTGTCGTAAACCAAACTACTTGATGAAAAGGCTTTTCAGCTACTTAGTAAATAATGATATCTGATTTAGAAATGCTGCTCATAATTTTCATTTTTTATTAAAGAGTAAACGTCGTGGATTTTCTTTTTGCCAACATTGTAGCCGTTGATCCCTCAAATTTTTGTAAATGAAGAGTGGTTATTAATCGGTTTTTTATTTAGCTGAAAGTAAAATACATCCAGAAACTGGTGTCTCAAATTCCAGAACAAGCCCTAGCTATATCAACATTCTGAATGAAGGCAATATATCAGGAATTCTACGTTAATATGGTCTTTGTGAAATCCCGAAATCAATGTAAGAAATATTGGAAGAAAAAGAAAAGCCAATGGTATTTTTAATTTAGGGTGTCATACACGATGGCAATGATTTTTGGCTAAAATTAAAAATTGGTTTCTCTAAAATATCGATAAATCCCTTTGTAGTATATATATTGGTAAGGAGAACTAATTAAGGGTAATGTTGCTCTAATTGTTATGGGTTCCGATTCGGGAGAAAAACCGACTGCTGTTTGCATTAGAAATAGAACACATTTTGCTCTTAGTAATTTATCAATTTTGATTAACAATTTGCCTCTAACTGGGAGGTTACTGAAAAGGATAATACCAGCATCCTGAGTGGTTCGCTTTATCTTTATACATCGGCTTTAAGAAATGCTAATGAACATTAAACTCGGAAAAATCTGCAATATTGCAATAACTGCTGCAATTTGATTGTGGATTCATCCAAAAACGATTGCACGGAGGCTTTGGTCAATTTATCAGCTTTCAAGCTGACATATCTGTCAGCATTAAATACTATTTTTTTAAAAAATATTAACAATTGCAAGCCAGTTGTATATCTTGTCCACTAAATTCGGCTCTCATTAATCAGTTTAAGCAATGAACAGTTTCTGACGTTTGATTTTTCTGAGTTTCATATTCGTGCATTCACATAACCATGTTTGTTGAAGAGGTATGAAAGAGTTGATTTATTTTGTAGAAGATCATTTGCCAGTATCCGATGTCTAATTGCTACAGTTGTTTCCTCAAAAATTATTACATAACTCACCGCCTCGCGAACATCGAACATATTATTATTTCAAATTTTAGAAGGCAGCATTTATCTTTCATAAATTTTTTTTCAAAAAAGTGACTCGATTTTTTGGATAGTAAGATGCAACTTTTTGTTGTTGAAAGTAATTCTGCACTTCCTGCTATTATACTTATCGTTCTTATCTCATCTCGTACCAAGCAATAATTATAGTTCAGTAAGGAATTATGTTTATAGTCCTTAGCTAAGAATGATGAACTAACAATGATCATCCCTCTTTTGTTCACGAAAACCTAGGAAATAGACTTCATAGTTACCTATTCTTATTTTAATTTTGGCTTTTCGTCTTCCCTTTTCTTACCGCTATTTTCTCATTTTCTTCTCTTTCAAACAGTCTGATATGCATGTGACATATGTGCTTGAAAACAATAATCAAAAAATTAGAAATAACTGAAATAAAGTTGTTTCAATGTGCAAAAAATGAAGGCATTGCAAAAAACATATTTCGTGCAGTTTTTTAGACTAAAAAGTTACTTGGTTACCACTGTTAGTCTCATTGCAGGTAGCAGTCACTGGAGTAGATCTACTGACTTTCTCTTGCAAATACAAACAAATTCGGCTTGATGATCTCATCCAAATCAAGGAGAAATACATAGTAGTTGTACTCAAGCTCCCTCAAAACCAACATTTTGAAATTAATCTTCATAAATGATCTCATCGTATTCATCATGAATCAAATTTCTAAATGGCGCTTCTTTCATATCCTGACATCAGAGGAGTGTAAAGGATTAATTTTTCATTTAAAAAAAAATGTGTTTTTGTTGGTGTACTAGTTTTTCTTTGATTGTCCATCTTGTGTAGATAAGAATATTACAAATGTTTCATAAACATCTTTTGAACATGTTTCATAAACAATGTTTCATAAACATTTATAATATTCTTATCTACCTATTAATGAATTTTGAGCTTTTAACATTAAACTTATAATCAGAAAAGCAATCTTTTCTCATAAGACTCTGAAAATGGCGGATTTTAGGTTTCCGTTTGAGAGCTATGTAAGTTCTTCCAGCTCCTTCACCTTAAGCGCGGCATTCGCTCTCCCCATAACCTTAACATGGGGTCTGAAATTCGGAATGATTGGGTTTTTCTTTTTTTGATATATGTATATATAAGAAAATTACCTGAAAAAGTTTTCTGAAAAGAAATGCAAATAAGTAGCTGATATGGAGTAGATTTTATCATTTTATCGGGAAGTTATTCATCCTTTTTTTTGTTTCAAATTGGAGCTCCTGCTCATTTCTTGGCTTTTCAAAAGATAATCGTGAAATGATTCAGGAAAGCAAAAAACCTTAGCATAGGTAGTTTTTTTTAGACGCATGGACGGGAATAATAAATTCGTTATTGACAAATTTTCTCGAAAAATTGGTTTTTGTGATTTTTTCACCCTTACGATTAGTCCATGTTTATTTGCTGTTTTTGTGAATTGCTCATTATTTGGATCTTTCATCATTTATTTTTCGCAAAAATCCAGAATTTTGCTGACAAATGATTTTACTAGTGCACCATTGGGGAAATAATTTATTTCATGTTGATAAATGGCGTAGGAAAGCTAAGCAAGCTTTTCGTATTGTCATGATAGTGAGTTGAGATTATGGAATTCTGCAGCTAAGGAACTTGCTATTAACTTTGAAAGGGCCATACTTTAGAGTTTATAATGCGGCGTAAAGATGAGTAGATTTTTGTACACCATCAATGGACTCGTATGCAACAGTTTTCTCTAAAACCTTTATCATTATCATGGTTTAGATCAATTGGGAGATCGCTGATTTTTTAACTGAATTTCTTGTATTACGGCCGTTAGAAAAAAAAAAAACTCTACCATACTCATTTTTTTGAAAAAGTTCTAGTGATATGGGATGGAGAAAACATGTCCTTTTCTGACAGTCCATTGTAATCATTTGAGTTCAGATTATGAGGCTAGAAAAAATATTGAAGGATATTGAGTTTTAAATTATGGTATTTTTCCGTAATATCATGTGTTTTGCTGGAGTAACAGTATTACACCGGTTGGCTGGTATGTCAGATGCAGAGGTATGAGGATAGGCTTTTATTAAAGTTGAAGGAAAAACCTGCTTTTTAGTATAGTAAACGTAATTGCAAATATTGTTATCCTAAGAGATCAACTCTTATCAGATGAAGTACATGGAGTTGTGACCCTTCTGAAAATCGAGCTGCTGGTTTTTTCTCGGTGCTGCAGGTTAGCAAGACATTTGAGATTGTTTATCGTTCTTTTGATAATTGCGTTCCTTGCTAAAATGGATGACTAGGAAGTCAGATGAAGTTGCTGAATGCATATCACATTCTGAGTTTGATCCATTAACAGTATTGCCAAGGTGGGAAAATTTTACAGAGGAGTTCCTAGATACAGCTAGAAATCAAAAACTCTCCGTTCCAATTGACATTGCTATCCAATCTCATGGTAGACGTCCAGGTTTGAAGATGTCACTAATATTGAAATACTTTACACTTTAAAGACGAATTTTCAAGATGAGGGAAGTTAAAATATCTTGAGATATATCGGGTATTTTTGCATCCGAAAATACATAGAAACTTGGAGTGGAGTTCAGCGGTATTGAATATGGGCGAGGTTTTCGTTTTGCAATGAGTTACCAATTCGGTGCTGCTTTTCTCGGCGCCAATATCGAATTGAACTCCGATGCTTTATCACTTCAGTTGTGATCTGATATGATCCATAACTCAGAGAACGATAATCTTTCTGTTATAAACCCGTTATATTTCACTCCCCGGATAACAATTTTCTGCTTTCAATTTTTAGAAACACATGAACTCTACTGATTTGATTTCGTCAACTTTCATTATCGGACATATTGACGCATCCTGACATCTTGTTGCTGGGCAAGGAAGAGTCGTTGGTTGTGTAAAAACAGTATTCGGTGCTTTTCATTTCTGAGAGATGAACTTATTGAATGGTAGACATTAGGATCAGAATCCGATACTTTAAGCAAGCTCCGGTTACTGTTCGATTAATTGGTCTATGTTGATCGACATTTGATGAGATATCGGTTTGCATTCAGGACTGTGTAGGCGAAGTAATGGCTATGGATTTTGTAAAAGTAGAGGGTGCGATAGTACTGTAAAGGTCGCATTACAGGGCTGGGTTGCAACTGTGTGGAAAAGTGTAGTTCAGATATTGTTTAGCATCGCATCTCATCAGACCGATTTTCGATTCATTTTTATGCAACATGCTGTTAAAGTTTCGAGTTACATATGAGAGCTCATCTGAATTCATTCACTAACTTGATGATCTTTGTGTTTTGTTGAGATATTTTACAGCAGCACTTCACCGCTTCTTTTTTAGCAGATATGACGGCGGTTTGTCCTTCCTTATCATCGTTTGCGCTGAGACCTAGGATACTTTCTGCTGTAGTGCAGACCGTCCGTCATTCCCACGCATTGTGGTTTCCAGATGCAAAGTTCCGTCACGAGTTTAAAGTATGTCTTTATTAATAATATGTGATTATATATGTTAACAAACGTAACAGACGGTTTTGAAACGAACTCCATATTGTCATGTTCACTATATACAGAGGAAGCTAACTAATAAATGATTCAGAAGGCAAGTGTGATCGGCCAAGTTTGGGCAGCAAAGGCGACTGAATATGAGAGACATGTTGGAACGAGCAACATATTAGAAGATTTTCACAAAAGACCTGTTATGTCAGATATTACAGAATTTCATGAAAAGCCGCTGCATTATTATCTTTTGAATTTTGGTCCTCAACATCCAGCAGCTCATGGTGTACTGCGACTGATTTTAGAGTTAGATAATGAAGTTCGTTTACTTGTTTTTTACAGTTCATTGTGGTATGGTTACTCACCATATGTATTTCCTTGTTTTCCTTCTTATAGGTGGTTATGAAGGCAACACCTCACGTTGGGTTATTGCATCGTGCAACAGAAAAATTGATTGAATACAAGACATACACCCAAGCTGTTCCATATTTTGATCGTTTGGATTATATCACGATGCTCACAAATGAACAAGGCTTTGCACTAGCTGTTGAAAAGTTGTTGGGAATTGAAATACCTCCTCGAGCTAAGTGGATTCGCAGTGGGTTTTTTTGTAACTTACAGAAATTCTGTTTGCTGCAATCTGTTTATAATAGCTTGGATTTTTTGCAGCATTATTTGCTGAACTAAATCGTCTTGCAAATCACGCGTTTAGTATTGTGACACATGCACTCGATATTGGTGCTATGACGCCTTTATTCTGGATGTTTGAAGAACGGGAAAAGCTGTTTGAATTTAAGTAAACAACTTTTTCATTCACTTTTTACAAAGCTTGTGTCGATAGCAACTTTCACTACCCAAGTTTTCTTTTCCTTTTTTTTTTTTTTAAGGGGTCTGTCACGTAAGTTTGTTCGTTGACGAAATGAATGGCATACTCCATCCTTAGGATTTTCATCTTTTTTTTTCCTTTTTTTGTCTTGGTATAACAGTATCGGTTATCTTCTTGCTAGCTGAAAAATTCTCGTTTTTTCAGCAATTACAGCTAGAATGCTTATGTCATCGCGACTCGTGTACTTGAAGTCCTGGGTGCAATTTGTTTCTTTCGCGTTATCGATTTTATAATGCTTCGTTGCAGAATTTTTGATTTCAGATTGTAAAAGAAATTAATTTTTGGTTTTCTTTGTAATAATAGGTACCATTTTGCATGTGAATAATGCTGGCTGCTGTTGGTAATTCTGAAACTGAGGTGATAGAAGAGGAATTTTGTGACTCGAATAGCCTTAACCTTTCAGTTATGTAGTCGTGCTTCTATTGTAAATCTTACGTTGTCCATTGATATAACAGCTTGGAATACTTATATTCCAAGCTGTTATCGTCGCAGTACATCTAATCAGTTATAATGAAAATGCTCAAAGTCCATACTCTTTTCACTCCTGAAATGATTTTCGGGCTGTTCTTTTGTGAGGTCGGAGTTTTTGCGATTTGCAAACATTCTTTTTCGCACAGTTCGGGATGCTTTAGTAAGCTTGCTTTTAACTGTAATTTCATTTCATCGTTTTCTTTTAACCCTCCATGCTATTTTCTTGTGATCACTTTCTGTGTTGAATGAGTCAATGTGACGATATCTTTGAGCACAGCTCTTATACTAAGAAAATAGTATAATTTGCTCAAGTTTTTATATTCAACACAGTTATCTCTCAACTTTCGTACACTGCGGCCACTTCAGTTTCGTCTCTGTTTCATTTTCCGTGAAAAAGTCGGAGTTAAATCTCCCACCACGATCACTAAAATAATTTGATTGTAGAAATTCTAACTTCAAAAAACGCCTTAAGCTTGTTGTAAATAACTGTAGTACAAAAATCTGGATAGCCAATTTTTTTTGATTTGATGTTTTATGCCAGAAACCCCATCTTTTAACGAAAGATCTCATAGTGACTTTTGAGACTACTCACTATTAGCGGTAAACTGGTCTGTTTTATATCTCAATATTCCTTTTTAAGCGCTCAGAAAAATCGCAGCATTAATCCTATAGATGCACAGACCACTGTTCTGTTTCTCGTGTCGATTTTAGTTTTTTTTTTTTTTTTCTATTTATCAACTCTCGGTAATATCATATCATTTATGATTTGATGACGAGATATCCTGCAAGCCTGATTTCAGTGAGAGAGTCTCAGGAGCAAGGATGCATGTGAATTACATAAGGCCAGGTGGAGTGGGGTGGGACTTACCACTGGGTCTGCTAGACGACATATATGATTGGGCTATCCAGTTTCCACAGCGCATCGATACGATGGAAGACATGCTTACTGATAATCGACTTTGGAAGGTAACGTTTCTTTTTTCTAATATTTTTTATTTGATAAAGTAACTGGAATTGTTTCTTTTCTTATTTCCTGTTAAAGCGATGCTCACTGACGACAAAAACTTCCACGTCCATTATTAATTGTGGATATTATTTATTGGCTCCAGCCATATTGTTCATACACCTTATGTGGAACATTTAATTTTCAATTGTAGAGTCGTACACGTGATATTGGTTTGATATCAGCAGCTGATGCACAAAGTTTGGGTTTCTCGGGGGTTATGTTACGAGGATCTGGAGTTAAGTACGATGTAAGGAAGGCGCAACCTTATGAAGCGTACGATCAGATCGAGTTCGATATTCCTGTCGGAACAAAGGGCGACTGTTATGATCGGTAGGCAATCAGCAAGAAAAGCATATAGAAAATTATATGGTTTGTTGTAACTTTCTTTTGGTTAATGTAGATGTCACTGTGAACTTTTCGGTTCAATTTCTTATTAGGATTGATGTATTTTTAGGTACTTATGTCGGCTGGAAGAAATGCGTCAAAGTCTAAAGATCGTACTGGATTGTCTGAACAAAATGCCTTCTGGAGAAATTAAGGTGGATGATCACAAAATTGTGCCACCGAAACGAGCAGAAATGAAGGTTAGAAAAATTATCGTGTCTCTTTCACACCAAAGTTTCAAGTTTGGTTTATTTCTGCGTCTTTGGATTGATAGATATTTGAAAATATTTGTAGAACAGCATGGAGTCGCTCATACATCATTTTAAATTCTTCTCTGAAGGCTATCAAGTACCATCGGGCAGCTGTTATGTTCCCATAGAAGCCCCGAACGGTGAGTACGGCACTTATGTAGTTGCAGATGGGACATCAAAGCCGTATCGGTGCTTTATCCGAGGGCCTGGGTAAGCCGTTTCTTCCAATTTTTTTTTCTTTTTTGATAATCTGAACTGTTAACTTCAAATCTTTGCTATTCATCTCTAACGGTATGTTCCCTATGGATTTGCAAAAACAGTTGTTCTCTCACCCACTGAAAAAGCCAGCATGGCAGTAAAGATAATATGGGTAACAGGGAGTATGAAGACACGAAAGAAATTGTAAGGATTTTTGTGAGGGCAACTGTTTAAAAGGGGCTGTTTTTTTAGCAAATAAGGTTTACCATACTTTGTAGGTGTTTAGTTTTACAACTTGCATGTAGTTTTACTGGATGCATTGGTTACATTTATGCAAAAAGGTTGCGAGGAGCTCTATTCTTTACCGTCTTGATCGATACTTTGTCGTAGATATGATCTACTTAGTTTATAAGATTTTGCTTCAATCGTAAGCATGTAAATTGTGAAGTATGATCCATCATCTCTCATGTGTCCCTCCTTCCAGGCAGTTTTTGACGCAGTTCCGTGAATTAGAGAAGTAAATTTTAGATTTTATGAATATTCTACTCAAAACACCCACCTTGTAAATTTTCTCACTTATTTTATATGACACACTTTATATGGCATACGTGGATTATATAACAAAATAAGCAAACAAATGATTTAATATCATCTGCTTGCTCATTATACTAACTTAACATGAGCTAAACTGATATTAGTTTGTCACAAGGTTAGAGTTAATAATTTAACACAAGTTTGGAGCTTGAATAAGAATGCGTCCCCAATCGATGATTAAATATAAAATTGTGAATTGTATAACTTTATCTGTATTTTGAGTAGAATTGGCTTGGACATTGCAGATTTGCACATTTGGCTGGTTTACACGATTTAACGTATATGAGTTTAATTTCTGATGTAGTCGCAGTCATTGGTACAATGGATATTGTTTTTGGTGAGGTGGATCGCTGAACGTGCGAAAATTGAATCGAAATTCCTAAAACACCTCCTGTACATCAGTTTAATTTTCTAGAATGTTAAAAATTTCTGTTTCATATTTTATGTGTTTGTTTTTTGGTGTTTGGTGTTGTTTCTAACAAGTATTTGCGTGGAGGAGTATTGCTTACTAATTTAGCAAGAGAATTAAGATGCGATATTATTGGATAGGCACTGGTACACTAATTTATTTGTTGAATTCTTACTTTAGTGTTCCATTTTCAGTATGTTCCTTGAGAAAGAATCTAAACTGAATTTGCCAGTTATAAATTTACGTGTAGAAATTTCATTTAGTCCTGCTTACAATTGTAAAGTGAATTGCGAAAGTGGAATACACCTGTACATGATTATAATTTCCTAAAATGTTAATAAAAATATGTACATGTATACGGGTAGCCATTTTGTTCAGATGCGATTGCATCATGCATCAAATTGCGATATCGTTTTTATTCAAAACAAAAGTTATGAACATAAGCTTTACTACTGTTAATAGGTTGTTGTCACTATGTTCTAAATACCGAGTAACGGTTATAATAAAGAAAACCAAAATATTTTGAAATCACAATGCAGTGATGCAGAGTCCGCGATGTGGTTGTAAATGTTTCGTGTGGTTGAGATTTATTTATTATGTATAAACAAACTGAAGCGGGAAACTTGTTTTCATTCTTTGAGATGACAATGGGTAGGGTTATTTCGATTCAAATTTCCGGACCGATTTTGGTCCTTGGCCATTATTTCCTAATAAGGCGATGTTGGAATATCGTTTAAATGTTTTAACTTCGAAAGAAATTATCTAGTTCCTATCTGCTTCGGAAAAACATTATTCTAATCTGCTGGTTTTGCGTTGAATAGTATTAGTTAAACCCTCGGTTCGGGTCGCGTGTTTTCAATTTTTCTACAGTCTACATAAAGTGAATTTGGGCCATATGTGTTTTGAAGCATTTATAGTCACGACATGTAATACTAATTGTATTATCAGTTATTATCGAGTTGCTCGTTGCCGAGATTGAGCTTGCTTTTTTGTCAGGTCTGTGCTTTAAAAACTTCGAAAATTTTCTCATTTTCCTGCCACCTCTTAGTGCTGAGCTCCCACACTTAATATTTCTGGAAAATTAATTAAGTGGTAGTGGTGCATATAATGGGTATTGATGGTTACAGGTGTTATGTTGAGGATACATGGCAACGAAGCGTAATCGTGCTTGCGTGAATGCGATATCTGGACTTGCGCGATATGTCAGAACCTTCTCGGTTCATTTTTGAAGGTGAGCAGACATTTGTGTACTGCTCGAATTATCATTATCTGTAAAGGAAGTTATTATTGAAACTAAAAGATGTATTTGATGAGTGCTTCTTCAAATTCACAAGCTGATTTCGATTGTTCGCTTCTAGCTTTTCATTTTTCGAACACTCGGTTGTGGTGACAACTTATGCTATAATAGTGAGCATAATAATTGCAGGTCTTTCTTGGTATTGTTTCTTTACACTACAAACTTTTACCTGTAATAAGGAGATGGGAAGATTACTGGAGAAAATATGTATTGTACTAATTTTCTCGAATTAAAAAAAATTTGTTTTTGCTGTTGTGCTGCTATTTTTGAGAATATCTTTTATAGTCACAATATACCATCTTCTCCAGGTTGTTTTTTTTCTTTTTTGTTTACAAGAGATGTGTATCGGAAGATAACATCTTTTCCTTTTCCTGTTCATCTGTTTCCCTGTTGAGATTCTTGAATGAAAGTTCCGTAAAAATATGAAGACGTAACAACTTGTTAAGCTCCAAAAATTCGCTCCTCTTTTCTAACCTCTTCTAACCTTTGCTGGTCATACTTAGCGCCGTAGATTGCGCAGCTAGATGTATTGTGAAGTGAAAATTAATGTTCTAATATTAAAGTCTCTTCACAGTTTTCATTTTACCGAAGTTTCTACATAATGACCATATACCTTAATAAATTGGTAGTAAAATGCAGGTAAATTTAACAGTCATTATTTCTATGCCATTTTCAGTGTTTGGATTAGAGTTATAACTGTTACTATAAAATTTACTTTGCTGTTTGGTTTGAATCGTAACAGTGCTGTACGAAGTGGGGTTTACGCGTTTGTTATTGCTTTTGAAGACGAAACACATTTCTTTCATGCTGTTTTTGGAAGAAATTTTTATTTACAGAGCAATGGAAGTAGATTATGCTGTGGGACGGTGATACTGAGCAAGATGTATGGTGCTGATCGAAAGTGGAGACCGCAACAGACGTATAGGAACTTCTATAATAAAAGAACGAGCGGAAAGCGTGCAGAATCAGAAGACTGTAGTATCAGTATGAAAAAAAAGGAGGAGGAGGAAGAAAAAAACCTAGTGCGAACTTCTCTTTTATTCCGATGTCTGAATATTCCCTTAACATTTTACAAAATGCATTGATCATTTTGCATTTTGCTCATCCTTGTTATACAGGATATCTATAGAGTACGCCAGGGCTGTTCCGTGTCACTTAACAATTTCGTAATAGTGACTGGTGGCAGTCGTAGCAGCTGCAGCATACCCAGATACTCTTTCAACTTCTTGTACTTGAGTATTGAAAGATGGAGCTGTTGCCATAGTATTGTTGACAATTTAATTCAAATAGACACTGCTGGTTATCGCTGAATTCGAAATGTGATTTAACGTAAAAAGAATATAGCTGTTCATTGTCATCCATATAGCTCATTTGACAATGTGCAGGTCTTCGATTGGTTTTAAAATAGATTTTTATCTATATACATATTTTATTCCAAGAGCATGGCCGAGACACAAAGAATTTACTCTATAATGTGATTTTATGCAAATTTTGGTGTTTGACGCATGCTTGTATTACGAAATTCGCCACAACAAAGTCCAACTAGGACAGTTCTACATTGTTTGTTGATAATTATTTTTGTATGGCTGTGTTCTCTCAATTTACTTTCGAGAACAAGGGAATGTTCTCTAATTTTTTTTGAAGACATTGTTCTGTACATTTAATTTTGGTACATTTATACTACGCCATGTGTTATAACTTTTTTTTCATAGACGGATACATCAGGAAATCAACATATGGGCTACGGTGGTAGATTTAGAAAATGCTTTTTTGAGGATTGTATGAGGGGTTGAACGTAGCTCGAGACTCGGGATAAAATTATGCTTAGATCTACGATTGGTTCAAGTCCTAGTCTCAAAGAAATATAAGCCTATCCTCTATTTAGGCAAAAAAAAGTTCAGTTTGCTAGTTGGACTTTGTTGTATTTAATGTTGCTCTACTAGTGGTATGATACACGTGTTGCAGAGCGGTCAGCTGTTGGTCCTCTGTGGTATTTCTGGTCCAGCCATTTAGTAACTGATATTCCCGTGTTTCGAGTTTTGCGTACATGTTAGTCTTTTGTGAAGATAAGGAATCGAATGTGTACTGTGTTGCAGCATGGGTCGATTTCCATTACCTACCGAAAAACAGCGTCATCAGATTGTCCAGCATCGTAAAAATTACGAAATGAATCTCTCCGCCAGTCTTCGTATGCAAGCTACAAAACAACGTGGGATGAGTGCACCTCCGAAAATTTGTAAGTTTTTGCCCTTTCGGATTTTCCTCGAGGTCATCTGGTAAACTCTACATTTACAGAACTGCATTCCGTGGACTTCATTTCTCTGTGTGCGCGTAGTCGTGCATAGTTGATTGCAAATGTTTTTCAAAAATATTTGTAAATCGAGCTGTAATAATTTAGTGCCAAATTAAAGATTTTTTTTTTCTTTTTGAATAATCCAGTTTGTCTTTATCTGAGTTTGTGTATGAGTACATGCAAGACATGTGTGTTTACACCTATGTATTTCTCTCTCTTCGTCTTCGGTACTTGACACTCAGTTGAAAACTGGCTTAGAAATGGAAGTTATTTTGTAAATTTCATATTATCTTTGATCTTTCTGTAGCATTTTAAATTGTGCCGTGAAATATGATTTTCTCGGTTATTATTATGCTATATTATTTGTATCTTCACATCATTTATCGGTGCTTCAGAACTATTTCATAATAGCTCCACCACATGTGAGATGGGTGTACTGCAGAAAAAGCGTGTGATTGCAGTCATTGAACATTTCATTCAATCTCTCGCCATGTGCTCCCAGTGGTTGCTCGTACCATTGTTAATTATAATTTCAGCAGATGCATCTTCAGCAGAAACCTCAGACATACCGCAGGTAATTGAAGCTGAAGTTGTACGCTCATCTCCGGGTGTCTTGGTGGTGCAATACAAGCAAGAAAGCACACATACGAAGTACATGGGTATTCTTCTTGCTGAGAACGGGTGAGTGTACTGTCGAAGCATTTTGCCCTTTTTGAAGATTATAATGTTTATGCTTCAAAGTTACGACCTTCTTTCGCATGGTAGTACTAATCTCGCTGCATGCAAAGCATCAAACTGTGTATTACAGTATCGTTTTGAGGACTCTGAGATTACTGGATTTACTATTTAGTTTCTTCCCTTCCTTAATTTTGAGGAAGCTTAGCGCTTATAATGTCGGATAGAATGCGTTAATATGTATTCTGCTATATGATCTTTTGTATGATGTATGTGTATGTACGTCTGTGTCTGTGTCTCTGTGCGTCTATTTGTATGTGCGTTCATACGGACATAATAAATATATTTGTTTCGAAACGAAAACGGTTAATTCCTAGCCAAATTACATAGCAAGGGTGACAGAGGTGGAATGTCGCGACGAAGTTTTCTTGCAGTGAACATACTTATGCAAAGATTGAATTTCCACTGATTAATTGCAGTGCAAATGGAACACCGGGAATCATCAGTGAGGATATGTCAAGATTCCGGGAAACAGTTAAAGCCTATGTGGATGCACCCATCATTGATCAGTGGACATCTGTAATTGGTGAGCGTTTTACTACTTCTGGTCTGCAGCTGCGCGCTCGGAGCTATATGCGCAAAAACGGTCGTATGGTTTGTGCCAGTTGTATGGAAGCGATTCCAGATAATGAAATGGTTAATTCTTCATTTAAATTCGTTTTGATAATCCATTAGTTTTATTATAGGTACACAGTGCATTCTTAATGCTTTACTGTGCGTTACATCGGATCTGTCTGGAATCCTGTATGGTTACATCCCGTTTTAAGCATTTTTTTGTTTTATGTATGAAAAGTATTATTATAATACATTCGAAATTTGAGATCTTTATTATGAATTTAGTTGGATAATATATTGCGAATTTTTCTTTTTTCAAAAAACTCGCCTCTATGATTATTGATTTTTTAAGATAACGCGCAAACACTTCGTTAATGCCAATCAGCGAAAACTGCAGTCGCTTCCAAAAGAGACGAAACGTATAGTGGCTCAGTTACCATCTTCAGAAAAGCCGGTCTGTTTTCATGATGCACGTTTTAGCTTTGCTGAATTGTTGCAATAATTTAGCTGATAGTTGCGTAGATATGAATAGGTTACCGTTGCGTTTTAGAGTGCTTTGCTATTAGTAGTGGAAGAGGACGTTGAAATTGTTCAGAAAAAGCATAATTAAATGTCGTAATTGTGCATGTATAACTGCATGATCTTTACAGAAAACATTAAATTGGAATATAGTAAGTTCTGTAAAACTAACTGTAGTTTTCACTGTTTTGCTTTTTTCATGTAAATATCTCGGGATGATTGGAATTATTCGATCCGTTTAATTTCTTGCAATTGCTGAAGCGATTGGGATGAAATGTGAAAAGCTGATTGTTTAGACCGTTATGAAAACTCCTTTAAATCTAACTTATAAATGTTTAGATTCATTGCTTTCTTTTTTTTTTTTTTTTTAGTTTTTAGTT